GGCCCCCTCAAGGATTGAATTTATAACCCTGGGTTTAGCAGGTCAATGCTCAAACCACTGAGCTATCCCTCCCCCAAAAATATTGAAAGATTTGAAAAATTGAGTCCTTAACAGACCATTTATGGTCAAAAGAAAAGTGTCTGTTCAACTGATCCTCTAAGATGAAACCTGATGCACCAGCTCCATAAGTGAACAGGTTCTTGGCACAGTTGAGAAGGTCTGTCTCCTCCTCCTCCTCAGTTAATATAGAACATCACTATAATGTTATCTGTCATCACTTGTATTGTTTTGCCTTGTATTAAAAGTGGGAACATCACACATGCTATACAGATTGCTCTCAGTTCTAAGGCATTTATGAAGCTGAGACCTGTTTATTGACCATAGTTCCTGGGTCTAAGAGTGATTCTAGTATGCTCCCTATGAGAGGTTGGAAGCATTCATTACTAATATCACTGTGGGCAGAGGGGGAGAAAATGGAACACCTCTGCATACTTGGACTGGTTACTTCCAGCGGTTTAGTGATGATAGGACCTGCTGTGGAATCTGCACTGCCATATCTAGATGGTGTTTGCTTGGTAGGTAGATGACTACAACCAGCCTTGCACAAAGCAAAGGTGATGTCTAGCATGAGGAGTGATGAATGTGCATGAAATGACCTAGTATTTTTAGACACATTCTTACTGCTGTCTGAGAATTATTAGTAAATTATTTATAAGATCTTCCATGATTTTGAACCTACTATGAGGTACGCTGCTGTGGAGTCCAGAAGTGCTCCTATAAATTCTGTCTTCTGGGATGGTACTAAGATGAATTCTCTTTGTTTACTTGGAGACCCAACTTAGTAAAGATTTGAAGGATGTAATGTATACTATCTGTGAATTTGTTGAGAAGAGGATCCTCAAATGAACCAGCCACTGCGGTAAGAGTAAAGGCTAATGAGTTGTCTTCTTAGGCCTAGTCTACACCACACAGTTAGGTCGACGTAATCTGCCTTACATTGACCTAGTGTACACACTACAGCCTTGTCCTACTGATGTAAGTGCCCTACTACATCGACATAACAATTCTACCTCATGTGAGACATAGGACTTATGTTGATGTAGTTAGGAAAACAATGTCTGTATAGACACTGAGTTACTTACATTGACTGTTGGCTGTCTTGTCCATTTCAGGGCTCCATGCTGGAGCCCTGAAATGGACAAGAAAGCTGGGCACCCGGCTCTCCAGTCCCTGATCAAGGAGCCAAGTAGCCCAGGTAGCTGCCCCCACTCCCAGTGGGGAGGTGAGAAGCCCAGGAGGAAATGGAGAGGCAAGAGACTTGGGGGGCAGCTGGGCCCCCAGTGAGGCGCTTCACAGAGCTAAGAGTTCTGGCTCTCAGCCCCCCACACTGCCCCTCTTCAGTTGGTGGAAGCGCTCCTGGTGAGGACACACACCACCAACAGAAGGAGGATAGCGTGGACCTCAGTACTTACTGCGGTGGCTGTAGGTCAACCTAACATAGGTAGACCTAAGTCAGTAGTGTAGACATGCCCTTAGAAATGCTATCAGCAGTACAAGATATTTTGTGAAAACCTTTGAGGCTGCTGACAAATCAAATAGCAGAACTCTATACTGAAGATGTTTTGTCCCCACTACAAATCTAAGATATTTTCTCTGAGCAGTGGATTGAAATATAGAAATACAAATCCTGATGATCAAAAGCAACATTTAGCAGCAAGTTAGTGCACTGTACATTCACATCTTGGTTTTCCACACACTAAATCACCACATAGACAAGCCCTGAGAAGTAACTAGGGGTGCCCTCCCTACTCTGGTCAGAGATTGATGAGGAAAATGAGTATTCCTGCAAGGGAGGAGCAATTAGCTAAATAGTAATAAAAATGCCTAAATCGCACCAGTCCAAATTATGAGTAAAGGTGCAGATCTAATTGTCTATGTCAAATCTGAGTATATCAGCTTTCTGGAGGTGTCAAGAAAGAATGGAATCCATTGGCCAAAAATGTGTAGGTGGCTGGCTGTGTTCCTGTTGTGGCAAAATGGCCAATGTTGGTATGGTGGGTCCCGTGCTTTTCTTGGTGGAGGGGCTAGGACACCACCCCTTGCCCCTGCTCTTGGGGTGCCTAGTGGCCCAGGAAGGTGGTCCCGGACATTGGGGGAAGGAGTCTCCCTGCCTTGCTGGGACAGGGTCTCCATTCCTCCAGTTGTCTGGTCTTTCAATTCTCAGCAACACACTTCCAAACTCCAGTCCTCAATCCTTCCTTGCACCACCCTGTCTGCCTGAAGCAGAGTTTTTTATTAGGTTCCTGACAGTCCCTTAATTGACTACAGGTGCTCCAATTAACCTGTAGTAACCTTCCCTAGTCTACAGGGAACCACAAGTTAATTAGCCTAGGGTTTATATATCTCCCCTCTCCCACTGTTCCCTGGCCCTGCCGTATTTTTGTTGCTGGGATTTTATTGTCTTGTTAATTATGTATTAGGGAGCCCAGAGCCTTGTATACTTGACTTTTTAAAAACATTGAATTCTAAATAAATAAATAAAAACTCCTCAGGCAACTCCGCAACCACTACTGCAGCCTCAGGGCCCCACTGTTTCCATACATCCTCCATCATAAAATCCCACCCAACTCTCACTGGTACAAGCTCTATGTAGCCAAGCCTTCCATCAGTGAAGCAGAACCATTAAACTGAGTATAGGGCTCTCCACATCTATGCTGGCTTTGTTCCAATGTGTCAACTATCTACTTTTTCCCCAGGGATGAATTCCCGTTTCTGGCATAGCTACTTCCCTGGTCCCTGGAGGGATGGGTAAATGGCAATCCCTGGAAACGCTAGAATGAATTATAACAAATATGTACTGTTTGTAGTTAGAATAGACTCACGAATGAGTCTTTTGATAATGCATCTCGATTGGTCTCGTATACTTTTCCCTTAGTAATCTGGGACTGAATTCAGAGTTCCTGAAAAGTAGGTATTAATGCACACAATCTTAAACCAGGCATAATCTAGGTAAGTTAAATGCTATGCAAGCTTCCCAACACATTTCTTTCATCGTACTTCACTCTTGATCTGCAAAACCCCTGCTTTTCCAGTTCAGGGCCTCTCTTGAACAGAGAATGCCAATCATGTTACATGGAAAGTGGTTTCATAATGTTTACAAATGGGTGCATCCATCTGTTTTAGCAGTAACAGGATGAGATCCTAATATAGTATAACCCTATGAGAGAAAACAAATCCATCCTAGCATAATGACAGGTTTCAGAGTAGCAGCCGTGTTAGTCTGTATCTGCAAAAAGAACAGGAGTACTTGTGGCACCTTAGAGACTAACACATTTATTAGAGCATAAGCTTTCGTGGACTTCTGAAGAAGTGGGCTGTAGCCCACAAAAGCTTATGCTCTAATAAATTTGTTAGTCTCTAAGGTGCCACAAGTACTCCTGTTCTTTTTGCAAATTCATCCTAGTTTCCTACAGTTAGATTAGAATACAATAGAATTTACATAATGCATTTGTCAAGCACAGTGATTGATAACATTTCTGGTACACGTATGTCATATAGTATTTTGTCAGAGACATTGTCAGGATCACACTGGCATGTAAGTCAGTGGGAACAACTAGGGAAGATGAATAACACTCAGCAGCGGCAGTTTGAATCCCCTTCCTCAAGGCTTTCTTTTGCTGATTTATAAACAAAGGATTACAAATAAATAAAAACAAAAATAATCCATTCAGAACAACGAACCTCACTGCTTGTCAGAGATGTTTCCAGCTTCTTTCACACCCTTCTTCTAGGTAGCCACCCCCACAGTCACTTCCTCTCTAACTTTATATACCCCACCTTTGATTACCCATGTTACAGGAAGGGGTCTGCATTAACCCCTCAAACACTGGGACTTATAGAGCCTTTCTACCTTATCACAGGTGTTTCCTACCCAGAAATATACAGTATGTGCATCTTAATCCTTAGACAACTACTGGGGACTGGTAGACAAAGGGCACTATTTGAAGGAGGATTGTGAGCAGATGGGCAGAAATGGTAATATTCCAAGGATCAGAAAAGGTGTCCAAGCAGCTGAGAAATGGAAGAGGTTGGGTGAAGATTCCTGCTCTAATGATAGGAAACCCTCCTCAATCCTTGGCTTATATTTTTCACGTGACACACACCTTACTGCTTCCATTTCCCAGCCTCAACAACAGCTGGCAGCAAGATGCTTATCAGGAGAAAAAAGGGTACAGCAGTTGATAGGAGACTTTGGTGCACTTGTTTGGCAGGAGAGGAAGGAGAAGGAAAGATGAAAAACTGAGGATGAGCTTAATCTCTTATTGTTCCTCAAATGCAATTTATTCATATAAACTAAAAATCTTCCTCAGTACTTTAAGGGTTAAATTAATCAAAATCTCACAACTGTGAATTCTCATAAGAACCAGGAATTCTTTATTTAAACATTATTTCAAGAACTCAAGATCATAAAACTTTAAGTGTTTCCTAAGTAGTGAAATAAAATCGATGTTTGGGACATACCTAGTTTGATCTCCCACACAAATGAGGATTTCTTAGGCCTGGTCTACATTAACCCCCAATTCGAACTAAGGTATGCAACTTCAGTTATGTGAATAATGTAGCTGAAGTTGACGTACCTTAGTTCGAATTTACTGCGGTCCAGACGCGGCAGGCAGGCTCCCCCGTCGACTCAGTGTATTCCTTGCGCCGAGCAGGATTACCGGAGTCGAAGGGGAGCACTTCTGGGTTCGATTTATCGCGTCCAGACAAGACGCGATAAATCGAACCCTGAAGTTCGATTGCCTGCCGCCAAACCAGCGCGTAAGTATAGACAAGCCCTTAGCTGCCTAAAGCCACCTCTTTGCTTATACAATACTACATAAAATTTTCTGATTAGTGTGAAAAAAATTGAGGTATTTTAAGTGAAATTTGTTGGCTATTCATTCTTTTAGAACTTCCATTTGCTGATATAATTTCCCCCGAACTATCTGATCTATTACCTGGAAAATACGTTGTAAGGATTGTAAGGAAGGTTGAGGCAGAACCAACAGACAAAAGTGTGTGAGAAGACGTGGGCTAATCTCATTTCTTCCACCACTTGGAGGGGCACAGTCTGCAACCAGTGAGACATCCTGGATATTCTGTAAGTGGGAGAAAATTGAAAGGCAGCAACTGAATCAGCATTTCAAAACAAAATACATTTTAGAGCTCCTATGCTATTGCAAGGATTTCCACTTCAAGGTCTCCATCTTGCTCCAAATGTAAGTGTAGTTAGAAAATGAGCAAAATTAATCCCCAATATAAATATATAAATCCAGTGACCTGAGCAACGATAGCAGGAAAGAGTTACTCGGAGCTACAATTTTTATATATATATATATTAGGGCTGTTGATTAATCACAGTTAACTCACATGATTAACTCAAAAAAATTAATCACAATTAATCGCACTGTTAACAATAGAATAACAATTGAAATGTATTAAATATTTTGGATGTTTTTCTACATTTTCAAATATATTGATTTAAATTACAACACAGAATACAAAATGTACAGTGCTCATTTTGTATTATTTTTATTACAAATATTTGCACTGTACAAATTATAAAAGAAATAGTACTTTTCAATTCACCTCAAACAAGTATCATAATACAATCTCTTTATTGTGAAAGTGCAACTTACAAATGTAGATTTTTTTTGTTACATAACTGCACTCAAAAACAAAACTATGTAAAACTTTAGAGTCTACAAGTCCACTCAGTCCTACTTCTTGTTCAGCCAATAGCTAAGAGAAACAAGTTTGTTTACATTTACAGGAGATAATGCTGCCCACTTCTTATTTACAATGTCACCTGAAAGAGAGAACAGATGGCACTTTTGTAGCTGGCATTGCAAGGTGTTTTTGTGCCAGATATGCTAAACATTTGTACACTGTTTGATGCTTTGGCCACCATTCCAGAGGACATGCTTCCATGCTGATGACGCTTGTTAAAAAAATAATGCGTTAATTACATTTGTGACTGAACAACTTGAGGGAGAATTGTATGTCTCCTGCTCTCTGTTTTACCCGCATTCTGCCATATATTTCATGTTACAGCAGTCTCGGACCCAGCATGTTGTTCATTTTAAGAACACTTTCACTCCGGATTTGACAAAACACAAAGAAGGTACCAATGTGAGATTTCTAAAGATAGCTACAGCAGAGACCCATGATTTAAGGATCTGAAGTGCCTTCCAAAATCTGAGAGGGACAGGGTGTGGAGCATGCTTTCAGAAGTCTTAAAAGAGAAACACTGATGCGGAAACTACAGAACCTGAACCACCAAAAGAGAAAATGAACCTTCTGCTGGTGACATCTGATTCAGATGATGAAAATGAGTATGCATTGGTCTGCACTGCTTTGGATCGTTATCGAGCAGAACCCATCATCAGCATAGACATATGTCCTCTGGAATGGTGGCTGAAGCTGAAGGGACGTATGAATCTTTAGCGCATCTGGCACGTAAATATCTTGCAACACTGGCTACAACAGTGCTATGCGAACATCTGTTCTCACTTTCAGATAACAGTGTAAACAAGAAGCAGGCAGCATTATCTCCTGCAAATGTAAACAAACTTGTTTGTTTGAGCGATTGGTTGAACAAGAAATAGGACTGAGTGGACTTGTAGGTTTTAAAGTTTTATATTTTATTTTTGAATGCAATTATTTTTTGTACATAACTCTACATTTATAAGTTCAACTTTCATGATAAAGAGATTGCACTACAGTACTTGTATTAAGTGAATTGAAAAATAGTATTTTATTTTTACAGTGCAAATATTTATAATAAAAATATAAAGTGAGCACTGTACACTTTGTATTCCATGTTGTAATTGAAATAAATATATTTGAAAATGTGGAAAACATCAAAAATATTTATATAAATGGTATTCTATTACTGTTTAACAGTGCAATTAATCACAATTTTTTTAATGGCGTAATGAATCATGATTAATTTTTTTAATTGCTTGACAGCCTATATATATATATATATATATATATTCAATATTTGTGTGTGTGTATACATACATACATACACACATATTGAGTTCTCTTTCTCTGGTTTATCAATGACAGGTGAGTAATTTGATGAACTTAAGATGTATAACCTGCAGATTAAATAATAAATTGGAAACATTCAGTCAAAACTATCACTGAAGAGAAATCTTATTTTGTTTGGGTACTTTTAGGACTAAAAAATTTTTACCTGATTCAGAATCCACAGAAACAACATGGATTTCAAAGTCTGATTTGAATTTAAATGTATGTGGTCTGCTTAGGAGTGTGAAAAAAGACGCAAAGAGGGACAGAGATAAAAAAGTCTAATGAAAAATGGTGAAGGAAGACACAGAGAATAGGACGACTGAAAAACAAACATGAGTATGTCGGGAAAAGAAGCAGAAAGGTGAGAGAAATTCTAAACAAGGAAAAATATATATCCGTCTTGCAATATTCCTATAAAAACACATAGCTCAGGTAAAAATCCCGTAGCCCAGTGAAGTCAAATGTCTTGCTGTTAATAAGATTCCATGTCTATATGTGCCCCCAACCTATGAAAGAATCAATTTTTTGCCTCCTCATACCACTCAATACTCTCCCCTTCATCTTTTGGGTCGGTTCTTCTCTCCTGAGAAATGTTTTAGTGTGGAGGCCACTCCTACTTCCAACCCGTTTCAGAGAGAGAGAGAGAGAGCGAGCGCTGGAGGAGCAGGGAGAGAAGGGGATGGGAGATATTGAGTTCACTCCCTGAGTGGGTAAAACTGTAGTGGGCAGGGGAGGCGGAGACAGAAGAAGCATGAGACAGACAAGTTGATTGAGGCTGGAGGAGGTGAGTTTCTTTGGTTTCTTCCTTGAGATAAGAGGAGACAAAGAGATGCAAGAATGATGCTGGTGGCTAGGCATTGAGAATAACCAAGTTTCAAACTTAGGAAAGGGGAAGAAGGCTTGTTGGAGGAAAAGCTGTTATCATGGACAAACAACTGGTCTCTCAAAATATTGTGCTCTCCCAATTCAGAAATAAACTCTCATCTGGTGAATGGGATTCCCGTATCTGGTGAGCAGGCTGAGCTACCTAGAGAAGAAGCCAATTCTGAACCTGCACAAATACATATGCAAATCTCATGTGTGTGTACAAATTGGCCCTACTATGCTTGCCAGCAATGGAAAGACTACACCGATTAGAGAAACTGGAATGCTTTAATGCAAAAAGCAAACTACACATGAAATGTCTCCACACATCTTCACAAGGAAAGGTGTCGGGGAGTACAAAATAAAATTGATGCCATCAACGAATCCCTTTGGTCTCACAGTACCATGCCTCATCCCTATACCCTTGCTACAGAAAGTCAAAGAAGAATGAAAGAGAATCTCAAAGTTAGATGCTACAGCACATCTGGCACATCCCCCTTGCTAAAGAATCTACACCATTAACTTCATTCATCACCCTGTTTGGAAGGTACTGTTTCAATCAGTTTCCATGTGGCGTAGCTTCAGCACTAGAACATTTCCAGAAAAGAATCTCTAAGATTGTGTCGAGTTTGCCTGTTGTCCTTTGCCATGCACATGATGTCTTGGTATGTGGCAGAGATAAAAATGAACACAATGAGTGATTACATGCAGTTTTGAGGTGCTTCCAACAAGCTGGCCTCACTCTAAGCAAGAAATGTTAATGTGGAAAAGAGCAGGTAAGATTTGTAGGACACATATTTAGCAAACAGGAAATTCAGCAGGATTAAGACAAATTGAAGGCATTGCTTGCCTCATTTGAACCCAACAATATTTCTGCTGTGAGAAGATTCCTGGGCATGACAAATCATTTTGGGAAATTCAAATTTAGTTCATCTAACCAAATCCTTAAGAGTTGTCCTTAATGGTTGCAATATGTGGATCTGGAAGAGCACAAAACAAAATACATTTAATAAAATAAAAACTACTGAGATCTCCATCTCTTTTTGCACAATACTCAGTAAACTATCCAACAACAGTAGTAGCAGATGCATCTTCATATGGTTTAGTAGCAGCCTTCCCAATAAAGCAGCCAGCAGGAGACCAGAGACCTGTTGCATTTATATCAAGAAGTCTCACAGAAACCAAGCAGCAGAATGCTCAAGTGGAAACCAAAGTTTTAACAGTCACTTGGGCCTACATAACTGTTTGTGTTGGATTTTAACATAAAAAATTATTATTTAAATCACTAGTCAGGAAGACTCAATGTAATCATGGATTTCTACATAAAAGTGCATTCTTGTTGGTTGTTATAACCTTAATACATATTCACAACTCAGAGATGTAGGTTTCATTTTTAGAAGATACACACTCTACATGTTTAAAGTGATTTATTTTGAAAACTTTTCAGATTAGTTTTACAGCTATATCAGAAAATGAATGATTGTTTGGTTATTTCATTTACCAAATGTAATTGAAGCGTATTTATGAAGCCATTGGGAGGTGAACTATCTCCAATTCAACAGGTTAATCATTAATATTTGAAGGATTTTCTTGCCATGCTGTATTAGGAGGAGAACATCACCAAACAGACATTTACATTGTTTTATTTAACTAAACAACAACATTATGAATTATTGATTTTTTTCCTTCAACAGCAAACATATAATATTTTAACAAAACAAGCATATGCATTTTTGAATTTAGTTAAACATTCAAGTTTTTTAAAATCAGTTTGTTTTTGTTAAAATTGTTTTTAATTAAAATAGTTAAATGAAATATTTAAAAAAAATCAAGAAAAATTAAATAGACTATATCAGCCAGGTCAACATGAGAAACTTAAAATATTGGCTTCTGCAGCTAACTCAGTCGTCCTCACCTTCATTTTCCTGTTTGTTCATAATCTGGAAAAGAAAAACAAGCTTTCCTGCTTTTTCAGGTCCCAAATGATTTCTCAATTTGGAATGAATTAGTCCAAAGGAAGAAAATATTCTTTCTACACTGGCAGAAGAAGCTACTATTGTTAAAAGTGAGATTATCACTTCAACAGTCTCTGAATCCAAGTGCTTAAGTGACTTCCACCAGTTCACTGGTGTGACTTTCTTTAAAACATCATCAGCAAACATATATTTCTTGAATGCTTCACCCTTAGTTCTGAAGTTTATTATAGTTGGCATTATGGAGGGATGACTGCTAGATGTCCATGTCATAGCCAACTCCTCTTCTTCAGCAGTTAAGGTTTGACCCTGGTACCGAGTATTGAGAATATCTGCAAGAAAAGAGCTGGAGATAGTGCTTGTCCCATTTGTTTTTTTTAATGCTTGTAATTTAACTCTGTCATTGCATATTTCTCTTTTTAAGATCTCACTCAGTTCCTTTTACTGCTACTTCTTGTAAGTATTTTGCTGTGCGTGCATTTCCTGATGTATCTATTGTTTCTGTAAGGAAGACATTCCCTTCTTCTGTTGTCACACAAGCACATACAACAGGATCATTGTGGACATTGCTCCGCCCTTCAAGACTCAAGTTAATAATTTTACCCTCTAGACCTTTTGCACACTGCTCAATTTCTCTTTTATACACTTTATCCAGCAATTTGCCTGCAACGTCTGCTCTGAGCGGACTGTATCCTGGTCTTAATGACTGAACCATGTTAATGAAGTGTGGGTTCTCAATCATAACGAAAGGAGAGCTTGTTGCAAAAACAAACCGGGCAATTTTTTCATCAATTACCTCTTTTTGTAATCTGCTGGTTCTTATCACAAACTTATCTACGGCTGTTTCTGGATGATGGAGATTTTTTTTTTCCTTTTTGCTGCAGGTGATATACTGTGGCTATGTGACATACATGACATGACTGAAACACTATCATTGGCATATAACTCTGAAACTAGAAAATAATGGTGATCTTGAAGATGGATAGTCTTCAAAATCCTGTATGTTGAGGATGGATTCTCCTAAACAAAATAAGTCAATGCAGTTATTTAATTATTACCATCTGCTCATTTAGTATTACTCATTGTATTCACTAACACTCAGTACTACTTTAAAGGTGAAATTGTAAAAGGAAGAGTCTATTTCTGCTATTTATTTTTTTATCACAACTGCATCTAAAATGATAGTACTATGGAGTAACAACTATATTTTTTGCTCAAACATGAGAATTCAAGAATAGTCCAGAAGGAAGACAGGCAGTCCTTAAGAAAGAAGTATGAAATAAAAAAATTTACCAACCTGAAGATCCTGCATGTTCAGACATGTTCCTTTCATCATCTTCAACGCAGCTTCCTCCAGAGAAGGAACACTTCTAATGATGTTGTTTCATTTGGGCAACCAGGCCTTGCATTTATTTGTTGCACTGTTTGCATTTTGCATGCATGCCTGTCTTACCCACAGGTAGAGGAACTTCATTAAAATATTCCCAAACTGGGTCTCTTTTACGGCCTGCTGCCATTATAGGTTTTCCCTTCTAGTGAGAGAATGGTATGGTAGATCTCAAATCAATGAAGGCTACACTCAGAAAGACCTCAAGACTTCTATAACACTTTTGTTTCTACTGCCTGCCCCTCCCTTCTCACATTTATCTCCAGACTTCTTATTATTCAGATCTATTCCACCCCCAACGGTCTTCTATTCTTTGAATTTTTTGAAACTTTGCACTTTTAGAGAGAGGTAAGGGATTGACTGTGTACACAAATTTGCAGAGGGACAATAGGGTTGAGGTTTGTTATTTCTCACCTCTCTATATTATTTATTTATTTATTTGCTATTAACAAGCATGTTATCTCTGGAGACACAAATCCACAGTTTGAGAACTGCAAAACTAAGCATCTCTGATGATATCTTCTAGACTGAGCACTGAGTCCCACTGGGTAGACAGAAAGATTAACTGAAATAATCTACACAGAAGCCCCTGGAACCCCATAAAATTGGGTCCCTAATCCATGAACTACTGGAACTCATTTACAAAACTTTTCTTAAACATTACATGACTATATTGTCATACTATAGAATTAGAATTTACAATCCCAATTCCATGATATCTTTGAGCTATAATGTATCTTAATTAAAACCATCTTTAGATAGGTTTTTTTTCCTCAAAAAGCATTTTATCAAAAAAATCCAATTTAAATAAAAAAAATCCATTTTTTTTAAATCATTGATTTTTATCCATCCTGCTAAAGAGCATGGGGTCAAAGGAATCGGCTTCCAACAGACCACTACCATACTGGCAGGACCAAAATTACCTTTACATGGCTGATGGCCTGCTTTTGAACATCAGCACATTCTTCTCTCTTTGGAATTTCAGAAAGAGAAACTCTGCAAAACCCATGAAAGACACCAAAGTATAAACAACTGCAGAGCCTGAGCACAACAATCCCTATGGTGGCCTGCCCTGAGTAGGCAAATTCAGACTTTAATGGAGAGCTGTGACTTATGTAACAAGGGAGAAAAAAGCAACAGAGGGTCCTGTGGCACCTTTAAGACTAACAGAAGTATTGGGAGCATAAGCTTTCGTGGGTAAGAACCTC